AAAGAAAAAAAAATCTGTAAATTTTTTTCTGTTGTCAAAACGTTAATCAATGTTTGTTTCTTTGTTTTTCCCTTGCCTCTCTTTTTTTTTCAATGTTTTCATTCTGTTGCCTTTTTTTTTTTTCAATATTCAACTGAAAGCTAAACGTTTTTTTTTCTCAAACACTCCTTCTTTTCTGGTTAAGTAAGAGGAGAAAAAAAAGGTTTCAAATATGGATTTTTCACAGTTTTTTAATGATTAAATTAACCAAAGGAAATCAAAATTAGGCGTGGCGGCGAAGCGTGTTTGTTATAAAGCTAACGAGCTGCATCAGAAGCAGCACATATCCTCGTCCAGACAGCACAGTTTACCAAACTATTAATAATATGTAATGCTCGACTGCTAAATTCATCTAACATCTTCCCAAACCTTGTATTCATATCATTTTTCTCCTCGCAGCATTCCAGAGACAGCATTCAAGTGTCTTGGTGAAAAGTCTAGAATCTTAAACGCTGTTCCCAACCGCCACTTGTTACTCAGAAATTCTGCTGTCTAACCAATCGGTTTTACAATTTTTTTACCGATCATGCGGGATACAAAGTACTAATTATAACACCGCAAATGACAGCTCATAAACGGTGAAGGGAAGAAAGTAAAACATGATGACGAAGGTGTACAAACTGTTAAGGATGTAAAAATTTTTATGCTCAATCATTGCTGCAATTGTTATTTGTTTGTGCGCCAAGAGTGTCTTTGTCCATAAAAATGATGGGAATCTGAGAACAGGAAACAGCTGTCAAAAAATTTACCACCCTTGACTAACGGAAAAGACGCTGAGTTAAACAATTTTCAGGAAGCGGTCCCGGTAATCAGCGAAAGTCGTGACAGGCTTTTTGTGCCAATCTTGGTGATCTGCGCCACCACCGGTACTGCTCTGCTTGGATTGTTGGCTGCACATCAGATCAGACAAAGACGTCGAAAGTCGTTTGGCTCACGGGATATCACCGATCTGGCTGAAGAAATTGAGCGTAAACCTTCTACAGTTTACCAGGTAAATTCTATTCTTTCAATAATTCTTCGGGCTTTCTACTAAGCAAAAAAAAAATGTGATTTATAGCATCTATCCGTTAACATCTACTAATAAAACATATAAACTGTGTTTAGTTCCACATATTTTTTATTTGTTATTATTTGTAGCTGTTTTTATCTTCGTTTCACCGCTAATTTTGCTATATTCATCACTTATAATGATGGTTTTATTTACGTAGCGCTAGTGAAAATGACAAAATTCTATACATCTGTTCGCAAAAGCTGCAGCATTTTTCAATAATGTTAGAAAAATCCGAGTGGCTGCTGAATTTGGAGGCAGGGGAGAGCGGGATGAAACAAAAAAATGAAGCAAAATGATGGAAAGGAAGATGACAGAAAAAAAAAAGGCAAAAGCTGGCAAACTTTTCTTATCATCTAAATTTGGAGCATAAAATGAACGGTTAAAGTGTTGGAATTATTAAGGAAGACTCAACAAAATAAGGTCATAGAAAGTTCTTTTTTTTTCTTCTAGCATTTTCTTTTCTGTTAAGACAAATGCAGAGGAAAATTTAGAAAGAAACGGAGATATCAGCTTGACTGATCAATAAAAGGAAAAAAAAACAAGAATGAAGCAAAAGCAGAAGCAAAAAAAAAAAAAAAA